GAGTGGGTTACAGACTGGAATCTAATTGAGGGGTTTGGGGTGGTTTATGTACAGAATAACAGATACCCAAGAGTGGGTTACAGACTGGAATCTAATTGAGGGGTTCGGGGTGGTTTATATATAGAATGACAGATACCCGGGAGGGAGTTACAGACTGGAATCTAATTGAGGGGTTCGGGGTGTTATATACCTTCCCCTTCCAGTTTGGAGCAAGGACATATTTCACATGGTTCACTGTATTTGGAGTGTCTGGAAGTCACTTGCTGAAAGCCCATTTCTCCCTAACGTTTGATCTGTTTGATCTCTCTCCCTTACAGCAAACCTAACGGGACATCCAGAAAAGGTGGGAATGGAAAACTTTGAGCTCCTGAAGGTCCTGGGGACAGGAGGTAAGGTCCAGCTACTCAAAATTTGTAAGGGAAGGATATATATGGATAACATTGAGGGAGCTTTATTCTGTATCTAACCCTGTGCTGTCCCTGTCCTGGGGAGTGTTTGATGGGGGGGACAGTGTAGAGGGAGCTTTACTCTGTATCTAACCCCATGCTGTCCCTGTCCTGGGGAGTGTTTGATGGGGAGGACAGTGTAGAGGGAGCTTTACTCTGTATCTAACTGTATGGTGCACGTGCTGGTGTTGCTGTTAATGATGAGCAGATTGAGTTGAATCTAAGAGGCCTATGCTGATGTAGTTGGTTTTAAAAGAGAACCTGGATCGATATTTATAGAGTCATAGAGATGTACAGCACAGAAACAGACCCTTCAGTCCAACTCGTTCATGCCAATTAGTCCCATTTTCCAGCATTTGGCCCCTATCCCTCTAAACCCTTCCTATCCATGTCCTCATCCAGATGCCTTTTAAATGTTGTAATTGTACCAGCCTCCACCACTTCCTCTGGCAGCTCATTCCATACACACACCACCCTCTGTGTGAAAATGTTGCCCCTTAGGTCCCTTTTAAATCTTTCCCCTCTCACCTTAAACCTGTGCCCCTCTAGTTTTGAACTCCCCCACCCTGGGGAAAAGACCTTGACTATTCACTCTGTCTATGTCCCTCATGATTTTGTAAACCTCTATAAGGTCACCCCTCCCCTCTCCGACGCTCCAGGGAAAATAGCCCCAGCCTATTCAGCCTCTCCCTGTAGCTCAAACCCTCCAACAACATCTTTCCTACAACAGTGAGACCAGAATTGAATGCAGTATTCCAAAAGTGGCCTCACCAATGTCCTGTACAGCTGCAACATGACCCTCCCAATTCCTATACTCGATGCACTGACCAATAAAGGCCAGTGTACCAAACACCACCTTCACCGCCCTATCTATCTGCGACTCCACTTTCAAGGAACTATGAACCTGTACTCCAAAGTCCATTTGTTAAGCAACACTCCCCAGGATCTTACCATTAAGTGTATAAGCCCTGCCGTGATTTGCCTTTCCAAAATGCAGCACCTCACATTTATCTAAATTAAACTCCATCTGCCACTCCTCGGCCCATCGGCCCATCTGATCAAGATCCTGTTGTACTCCGAGATAACCTTCTCCGCTGTCCACTACATCTCCAATTTTAGTGTCATCTGCAAACTTACTAACCATGCCTCCTATATTCACATCCAAATATGAAGATAAATGACAAAAAGCAATGGGCCCAGCACCAAACCTTGCGGCACACCGCTGGTCGCAGGCCTCCAGTCTGAAAGGTACCTCTCCAACACCACCCTCTGTCTCCTAACTCTGAGCCAGTTCTGTATCTGAAGGGTTAGTTCTCTCAGAAGAAAGCTGCAAGACTTAAAGAAAATGAACCTTTGTGGGGTGGGGGGGTGGTGGTTGCGGGGAATATGCCTGCTCTGAGAGATCTGTCAAAGAGCTTTCACAGACTTGGAGGGCCGAATGGTCTTCCCTTTTGCTGAATGATTGGGTGACATGAGTTAAATGTCACTGGAGACAGATCGCTGTGGTGCACAGTGATCTGGATGTCTTTGCCCTTGTTGGTGAAATGTTAGTTTGCAAGAGACATGGAACATTAAAGTAGGGAAGTCTTGCTGCATCTGTGCAGGATGTTGGGAAGACCACTCCCAGAGTCCTGTGCTCAGTTCCGGTCTCCTAACATCAGGAGGAATGCACTTGCATCGAAAGCAGTTCTGAAAAGGTTCACGTGGCTGATTCCTAATCTCTCCACTGAGGTGAGGTCTCTTCTGGAATACAGTGCCCAGTTCTGGGTCGCCCAGTTATAGGAAGGATATTACTAAGTTGGAGAGAGTTCAGAAGAGATTTACCAGGATGTTGCCAGGTATGGAGGGTTTGAGTAATAAGGAAAGGCTGGATAGGCTGGGACTTTTTTCACTGGACCCTAGGTGGCTGAGGTTTACAGAGGTTTATAAAATCACGAGGGTTATAGATAGGGTAAATGGTGGTTGTCTTTTCCCTAGGATGGCAGATTTCAAGACTAGGGGACACGTTTTTAAGGTGAGAGGAGAGAGATTTAAAAAAGACCTGGGGACAAATTTTTTAGACAGAGGGTGGTTCACATGTGGAATGGACTTCCTGAGGAAGTGGTGGATGTGGGTATAATTACGATGTTTAAAAACCATTTGTATAAGTACACAAATAGGGAAATGTTTGCAGGGATATGGGCTGGGAGCAGGCAGGTGGGACCAATTTAGTTTGGGATTATGGTCGGCACAGACTGGTTGGACCGAAGGGTCTGTTTCCACGCTCTATGGCTGTACGACGTAGGAGCAGGATTTGGCCATTGAGCCCATCAGGTCTGCTTCATCATTTGATCGCAGGTGATGTGTTTTTCAACCACAGGTTTCTGGCGTCCTCGCCATAACCCTTCCTAATCAGTGAAGTGTGTGGCTGTGGAGGGGCCGAGTGGGATTGAGATCAGCCAAGATCTTGTGGGATGGTTGACGTGTGTGTGTGTGTGTGTGTGTGTGTGTGTGTGTGTGAGATAGTGAGAAAGAGCGAGTGAGTGCTTGTGTGTGTGAGAGAGAGAGAGAGATAGTGAGGATAGTCAGGGAGAGTGTGTGTGTGAGAGAGAGAGAGAGAGAGAGAGGAGCTGAAAGGGCCATCTCTTACTCTGTGTGATGCTTTGTCTCTCTCTCTCTGTCTCCGTGCCCCAGCCTACGGGAAGGTCTTCCTCGTGCGGAAGGTGAGTGGGCATGACACAGGCAAACTCTTTGCCATGAAGGTGCTGAAGAAAGCTTCCATCATCCAGAAGACCAAAACAATGGAGCACACCAAGACAGAGAGGCAGGTCCTTGAGCAGATCCGTCAGAGTCCTTTCCTCGTCACGCTGCACTATGCCTTCCAGACCGACACCAAACTTCACCTCATCCTTGGTAAGGTGCTCCGCCCCCTCCCTACGCCCCCAGCAAACCCCCACACCCCCCCGACCATATCCTCACTGGGTAACCGCTGAGTAACGCACCTCCACCCCATGTGCCCCAGTCAAACACAAACAGCATGGGGGCAGTGGGACCCGTATTGCACAAAGCCGATGGGTTGAATGGACTCCCTGTCTGATCACAGACCCAGGAGGCTCGCTGCTCATTGTGACAGGAACTCAGAGTTTCTGCGCTGCTCTTGGGGTCGCCTTCGGGTAAATAATGAGGAAGAGATGGACAGTGCTCGGTATAGACGCAGTCTTACTCTGTATCTAACCCCGTGCTGTCCCTGTCCCTGGGAGTGTTTGATGGAGGGACAGTGTAGAGGGAGCTTTACACAGTAACTACAGGAAGTGTAATGCTGATGGTTCACTCTGCACAGACTATGTGAGTGGAGGCGAACTGTTCACCCACCTGTACCAGCGAGACCACTTCAGTGAAGCAGACGTTCGGATCTACATTGCTGAAACCATTCTTGCCCTGGAGCATCTGCACAAGGTAATTTTGAAACTGTGTCCTTCTGATCTTGAGCCAGTCCATCGACATCCCACCCTCGATCTCCCGCTCTGTGATGACCTCCATTCACAGCTCCTCACACACTGAAACAGCTCATGTCCAAATACAGCAAAACCTGGACAGTATTCAGAAAAATGCCCAGTAACATTCGCAAATGCCAGGCACTGACCGTCTCCACCAACAGACAATCTAACCACCACCCCGTGATATTTAATGGTGTTACCATCACTGAATCCCTCACTATCAACATCCTGGAGGTTACCATTGACCAGAAACTCAACTGGACTCACCACGTCAACACAGGGGCCACAAGAGCAGGTCAGAGGCTGGGAATCCTGCAGCGAGTATCTCCCCTCCTGACTCCTCCAAAGCCTGTCCTCCATCTACAAGGCACAAGTCAGGAGTGGGATGGAATACTCCCCACTTGCCCCTGGATGGGAGCAGCTCCAACAACACTCAAGAAGCTTGACACCATCCAGGACAAAGCAGCCCCCCCTTGATTGGCACCACATCCACAAACATCCCACTCCCCCCCCCCACCGACGCTCAGTAACAGCAGTGTGTACCATCTACAAGATGCACTGCAGAAATTCACCAAAGATCCTCAGACAGCACCTTCCAAACCCACGACCCCTTCCATCTGGAAGGACAAGGGGCAGCAGATACATGGGAACACCACCCCCTGCACATTCCCCTCCGAGCCACTCGCCGTCCCGGCTTGGAAATATATCACCGTTCCTTCAGTGTCACTGGGTCAAAATCCTGGAATTCCCTCCCTAAGAACATTTGTGGGACAACTCACAGCATGTGGACTGCAGCGGTTCAAGAAAGCAGCTCACCTCCACCTTCTCAAGGGGCAATTAGGGACGGGGCAATAAATGCTGGGCCAGCGATGCCCACATCCCATAAATAAATAAAAATGTGTTAATGCAGTCGGTTCTGATGTAATGCGATAGTTTCCATTCTCGTGTGATCTCGAGTTATAAGAAAATTGCAGAATAACTGCAACATTTGAAGAGATAGGGATGGAACTGCGTTATAGCCAATACAGGTAAGGAAAGTTCATGTTATACAAATAACAGTTGAAATTCTTCAATTGCGTTAGAACCAATTTGTGTTGAAGAAGCCTGTGTTATGTCAGAACTGTCTATAAATGGGGTTAATCCCACACCTTGAGACTGTAATGGAGTGTTTAAGATCATGGAACCTCAGCCCTGTTTCCCCCAAAAGCTCCTTCCTCAATAAATAAAAGCAGAAATTGCTGGAGAAACTCTGCAGGGCAGGTAAAATCTGTGGAGAGAGAAACCGAGAAGGGGCCCCATGTGGCTCCTCCTCAGGGCTGGAAAGCAGTGGTGATGAGGGTGATGAGGAGCAAGTGGAACAGAGGGCACCCGGAGCAAAAGGCAAAGTGGGTGCGAATAGTGATAAAGGAGTGATAGAGATGTTAAATAGGTGTTAATGACAGGTGCAAATAGGACAACAAAGACTGGCCAGGCTGCATGGCATGCCTCTCTGGCGTACATTTTTTATTGATTTGATTTGATTTATTATTGTCACATGTACCGAGATACAGTGAAAAGTACTGTTTTGATGTAACTCAACAGAAGTCTCCTCTTGCAGTTAGGGATCGTGTACAGAGATGTTAAACTGGAGAACATCCTCCTGGACAGTGAGGGACACGTGGTTCTCACGGACTTCGGGCTGAGCAAAGAGTTTCTCACAGATGAGGTGAGCTGTACTGAAGGATTCTGGGAGTTCAGGAGGTCAGCCAACTGATGCTTGACCTCTGAGGTGGGGGTGGAGGTGGGTGGGGAGACCAGAGAGGGAGGCATGGGCATCTGAGATATCTCTCAACACAACTTCCAGCCTCTCGGGCTAATCCAAAGTGCTGCACACCCTCCACGTGAGCACTGACCCTCCGACAGTGCGGCGCCCCCTCAGCGCTGACCCTCCGACAGTGCGGCGCCCCCTCAGCGCTGACCCTCCGACAGTGCGGCGCTCCCTCAGCACTGAGCCTCCGACAGTGCGGCGCCCCCTCAGCGCTGTCACTAGGAGTGACAGCCCATATTTCCATGTTGTGAGTGGGTCTTTACAGTCATGGTGTGACTGTGAGGTGAGGGGAAGCTAGTGGGGGAACTGGGAGGCAGACTGAGGTTAGGTGCTGACCATCCATGCTGAGACAAACACCATTTTATTGTAGCAGACATAGAGGAAAACCAAATGCAATGAGAATCTCAGTGAGGCTTTGCCATTGTATTAGAGTAGGGAGGCATTTGCTGCACCACTTTCAGGGCATTGGGGCTATGAGGTCCTTTACTTTGGTAGGGTGAGCTTGGGATGTGGGCAGCTGTTTAGAACTTACAGGGCTATTTGGGGAGTGTGTGTGTGTCTCTGTATGTTGTGCGTGTGCCTGTATGTTGTGCGTGTGCCTGTATGTTGTGCGTGTGCCTGTGTGTTGTGCGTGTGC